GCTCAACTACAAGACTGTGCACCCAGCCTACACACGGAGGCACTTAGACTGTCCAGCTTAGGTGAGTGGGGAGGCTGAGCCATGGGGACCTACAGAACACCTACTGCACAGGGTCACTCCACCAATTCTGGGAGACATAGCAGCTCTACCTGATACATAGAAACAAACGCAGGGAAGCAGTCAAAAGGCAGAGACAAAGAACATGCCACAAATGCAAGAAATGGAAGCTGCACACTAGCATGTGAAATGAAGTTCCAGAGAAAGCCATGTGAGGTGATAGTAGGTTAATTAACTTGACTGGAAATCATTTCACAATGTATATGCATACCAATTCATCACATGGTACATTTAAATGGGTATAATTTATTTGTCAATTATACCTCAATAAATCTGGGAAACGAAAAATCATTCCATTTACAAAACCATCAAAAAAATAAAATACTTAGAAATAATTTTAACGAAAGAAGTGTAAGACTTGCTCATAGCAAACTATAAAACATTATTGAAAGAAATTAAAGATCTGTATAGAAGGAAGGGCACCCTATAGTCATGGATTGGAATATTTAACATTGTCAAGGTGGGAATACCCACCATGTGATCTAGAACAAGCATGTCAAACTCAAAGGCTAACACGGACCAAATAAACAAGATTTAAGTTTATGTGGGCTGCAAAAAACCACAAGCTTCAATTTTCATAGAAATGTAGGTTTATTTAGAAAAGTGTAGTATAAAACAGAACAAGAGCAATGATAAAATTAATGTTTTCTTATATGCTTTTATATGCTGGGCTGCAAAAATATTCACTGTGGGCTTCATTGCAGCCTGTGGGCAGCGAGTTTGACATGCCTGATCTAGAGAGTCAATTAAATTTCTATCGAAATCCAAGATTGCTTTTGTGCAGACAAGTTGATCCTAAAATTCATATGGAAGTGGGGGGGGGGGGGACCTTGGATAGACAAATAGTCTTGAAAAAGAAGAACAAAGTTGGGGGCTTACACATTCTGGCTTCAAAATGTATTCATTTTGGGTGGTAAGGACAGGCTTACAGATGAATGGAATAGGTTGAAAGGGAAATTTATTATCTATAAGTTTTTGACAAAGGTACCAAGACAATTCAACGAATAAGATGTAAAAATAATTAAGTTAGACTCTCATTTTAAGAATTAACATTTACTCTAAAACTCTTAGAAGAAAACAGAAATAAATCTTAATGACCTTTGGTTAGGCAATGGTTTCTTAGATTTGACCACAAGGAAAAAGCAACAAAAGAAAAAAAATAGATAAATTAGATTTTACTAAAATTAAATCCTTTGGGCTTCAAAGGACACTATCAAAAAAGTAAAAGGCAACCCACAGAATGGGTGAAAATATTTGCAGATTATATATCTGGTATGGGTCTGATATCCAGAATATATATAAAAAACCTCTTATAAGTGAAAAAAAAGACAAAAAAATTCTTATTGAAAAATAAGCAAAGCATTTAAATAGATGTTTCTAAAGAAGATATACAAATGGTCAATAATTAAATGAAAAAATAAAAATGCTCAATACCATTAGTCACCACAAAAATACATATCAAAACCATAATAAATGATGACTATAATAAAAAGACAGACAATAACAAGTGTTGGCAAGGATATGGAAAGTCAGAATACTCATAGTGTTGGCAGGTATGTAAAAAAATGCACCCCCTTTGGGAATCAGTTTAACAAGAAGTTAAATACTAAGTTACCATTTAACCCTGCAATTCTACCCCAAGGTCTATATTTAAGAGAAATGAAAATATATGTCCACGTAACATGAATGCTCATAGCTGCATTATTTTATTGATTTTTCATATTTTATTGATTTTAAAAATATTTTATTGATTTTTCATAAAGGGAAAAATCAATAAAATATATTAAAAATATATTTAAAATATTTTATTGATTTTTCATAGAAAGAAAGGGAAAGGGACAGAGAGCTAGAAACATCGATGAGAGAGAAACATCGACCAGCTGCCTCCTGCACACTCCCCACTGGGGATGTGCCCCCAACCAATGTACATGCCTTTGACCGGAATCGAACCTGGGACCCTTCAGTCTGCAGGCTGATGCTCTATCCACTGAGCCAAACCGGTTTCGGCGAGGCCCTTTAGAGTATGGCTGGATTGGGGTGGGGTGGAGAGTGACTTAATGTGTGTTTTTTGTTGTTTTTTTTGGGGGGGTTTGATAAAAATGTTGTGAACTTAGATTGTGATGAACTTGATAATGAATATACCAAAAACCATTTGAATTCTTTTATTTTATGGGATATAAATTATATTTCAATAAAAATATTTTAAAAACTAAGAAAAAAAAATCCCTAGAACTGATGAGAGAGAGCTATTATAGTGGGGGACTCCTTGTGACAGGCTCCGCCACACTCTCTCAGCTGGAGGGCGCACCCTCCAGCTCAAGCACTTACCCGGACGGAGAGAGAAGCTGGGTCTGCACTGGCCTTGCCCTGGAGGAAAGTCTGGGCGTGTCTCCTCAGGGCTTCCTTACTTTGGGGTTTTCTTGCTGTGAGGCCGTCCCCCCTCCCTGTAGCAGACGAGTGCTCTCCACACTGACTGGGGTGAATTGTGATCTGAGGAGCACTTTCCCCATCTTTCTTGCTTCAGTGATCGCACCAATCCTGAGAGGAATTCTGTTCATTCCACTTAACAGGGGAAACTGAGGCTCGAGAGGTGAAGAGGGCTGGCCAAGGTCAGTCAGCACGTTAGTGGGAGAGTTAGCAAGTGACTACTTTCTACTGCGGATTACTGCTTCACACCTGCAAGACTTCCCACCTGCCTTCTGCAGGGGCAGGGAGCCGGCCACGCTCGGGTCAGCCCTGTTTGCTCTCAGCCGGGGTGAGGGCCACCGCGGCCGCTGTGAGGGCAGCAGAGGGCAGGATGTGGCTGCCTTGGCCTGAGACTCACATGGAGACACCCGGTGTCCACCTGCTCGTGAGGAGGGGCCATTTCCTGCTTGGCCCAGTGACAGAGGTGAGGGCTCTGGTCTATTTAACCATCTCATCTCAGCCTTCTTAGCTTTTCCAGCAACAACAGAGTTTGATAACTTCACTTTGCTAATCTCAGCACGATCAGAAGCAGTCAGGCCTCTGGCCATGGGAAGTTGCTGGCACATCCCTGGGCCTTCAGAGCAGACGCCCCCTCACCTGGTGGTCACAGGAAGCTTAGATGTCTCAGTCACACGCACATCCCATCCCATCCCATCCCATCCCATCCCATCCCATCCCATCACCCGGATCTCCCGTGCCCCCGCTCTAAGACACACCAAGACAATGCTCGTGGGTGCACAGAATGTTTATTGACATTCCGCTCCAGTGTGCTTCTCCCACGTGCCCTGGCCACCTACCCACCCAGACTTCTGAGAACGGAGTGGGAGCACCGGCTCCGCAGAGGCCCCCTGCATGATGCCGCGCTCATCACCACGCCTCTCGCAGGACAGGCACAGAGCCGGCTCCCTCCGCCCTGGGTCCTGTCCAGGCTGCCTCCCCGTTAGGAACTGGGCACAGCTCCCCCCCCCCCCCCCACCCCGCCCATATCCCCATTCTATGTTATTCACTCTCCTCTGTCTGACTCTCCAATCCTGCAGTCCCTCCTCTCGCAGATAAGAAACAGCTCCACTGCTTCCACTGTGGGGGGCGTATGGGAATGTTTGTCTTTTCCCACTTGGTTTTGCACAAGAAGTGAGTCATTGCAGGAAGCAATCCGCTTATTTGGAACGCTAGCTGCACTGAGGCACCAAACTGATCCTAGCTGCTGGTTGGCTGTTTCCATACATCGGCAAACTCACCTGTAGTGGGGTAAGGGGTTTGAACAGCACATAAGAAAGAACACACTTCTCCTCTGGACTGGAGGGCACGGGGTCCGAGGCCGGCTCTGTGGAGCCGTGGCTGCTCACAGTTAACTCGGGAGCGTTAACTGTCGCTCTGGATTGCTTGTTAATTGCGATGGTCTATGAAGAGTGTGTTTGTTCTTGAACAATCAATCCCATTGACCAAGGACACTTTTCAGAAATGACAGCTGTATTGCAAATCCTTAACAGGAATATCTGATCAATGTCTTCGCTCCACCTGGGTTAACTGTCGCCTCCATGGGCTGCTGGCAGAGAGTTTGTCTGCTCACTCACTTTCCTGCCACCCCCCCCCCCCCCATGTTCCCTCTTAAAACCGGTCTCTACCCCTATTCCGCTGCCAGGCCTCCGGTGGCAGAGCCACTTCTCTGTGCTGCGCGTCTCAGGGCACAGCCTCTGGCCCCTGCGTGCAACGGGCGCTGCCTCCTGCTGAAGCTGCCAATGGCGTCCAGGATCTTTGGGTTCACACAGTCTCCGTGGGCTTGGCAAGGTTGGTGTGGCAATGCAGAGAGCCCTGGCGGTGCGCCAGAAGTGAGCAGGCCTCCTGGCTGGCTGTCCCTGCGGTGGCCAGAGGCTGTGTCCCTGAGGGGCTCCGTGACGCTGCTGCCCAGCCCCAGCCCCGAGCAGAGCGCGCAGGCAGCCACCGGGCACCGCTCCCCGCCACCGGGCACCGCTCTCCGCCACCGGGCACCGCTCTCCGCCTGGAGGGCCCTTGGCCCGGCCTTCCTGCCCGGCCGCACAACCTCAGCTCAGGGCTGGGCCCGTGGTGCCCTCCACACCTGCCTGTGGACATGGCTGAGCTGCCGGCATATCCTTGGTCTTCAGAGCTGGGTGCTGCGCCTGTGTCGGAGCAGCAGGCGGAGGGAGTGGTGGTCTCTTTGGGGAGAGCACACGATTTCCTCGCCCGGGTCCAGGAGGAAGGACCTGCACCGGCATGGCTTCCTTGGCACCCCCTGAAGGCTGTTTCGGGGTCTGTAATGTCACTCGATGGCCCGGGTCGATGGAGGAGTCTGGCCACCCCCTGAAGAGCCAGCCTTCGGACCCGGCTCCCGGAGGCCGCGGTGTCCGGAGCTCCAGGCAGGACGCCCATCGCGCAGACCCTGGCGGGCGGACCGCGGCTCAGAAGAGGCTGCCGGGGAGCGCGGACAGGAAGCGGGGCGCCGGCGGGGGCGGGATGATGGGGGTGGTGTCGGAGCTGGCCTCCTCCGGCTCCGGCTCCGGCTCGCTGTCCTCGCTGTCCGGGCCGTCGCGGGCGGGGATGATCCTGACCACACGGTCCTCAAAGTGCACCTGCTTCTTGGCGGCCGGCGAGGCGGCCGGCTGCAGGGTCAGCTCGGTGGGGGCCTCGGGGCGCCGGGGGGCGCCGGGCTTCCTGGGCCCCTTCAGCAGGCGCCGCACGTGGGCGAGGAGGGAGCGGGGCCCTCGCCGGAGGGCGCCGGGGAAGGTGTAGGTCTGCTCGGTGTCCCCGGAGCCCGTGGTGCTCCGGGCGCTGCTGCAGGGGTCCGTGTACAGCTCCGGGGCCGGCCCCGGGGGCCCCGCTCCGCTCTGCTTCCTCTTGCTGAGCAGGAAGTAGGCCAGGCCCGTGAGGACCAGCATGGAGCCTGGGGAGAGCGGGGTCAGGTTGCGGAGTGGCCGGGAGAAGCCGGAGGCCGCCCAGCCACCGACCCACAGGCCAGGGCGCACACTGGGGCCACACTCAGTGCTGCTCCGGCCCTCACTCCCCGCTGCCCGCTGTCCGCTGCCCACTGTCCGCTACCCACTGCCCACTGCCCACTCCCCACTCCTCACTCCCCGCTGCCCGCTGCCCGCTGCCCACTGTCCGCTATCCACTGCCCACTGCCCACTCCCCACTCCTCACTCCCCGCTACCCGCTGCCCGCTGCCCACTGTCCGCTATCCACTGCCCACTGCCCACTCCCCGCTGCCCGCTGCCCACTGTCCGCTATCCACTGCCCACTGCCCACTCCCCACTCCTCACTCCCCGCTACCCGCTGCCCGCTGCCCACTGTCCGCTACCCACTGCCCACTGCCCACTCCCCACTCCTCACTCCCCGCTGCCCGCTGCCCGCTGCCCACTGTCCGCTATCCACTGCCCACTGCCCACTCCCCGCTGCCCGCTGCCCACTGTCCGCTATCCACTGCCCACTGCCCACTCCCCGCTGCCCGCTGCCCACTGTCCGCTACCCACTGCCCACTGCCCACTCCCCACTCCTCACTCCCCGCTGCCCGCTGCCCGCTGCCCACTGTCCGCTATCCACTGCCCACTGCCCACTCCCCGCTGCCCGCTGCCCACTGTCCGCTATCCACTGCCCACTGCCCACTCCCCACTCCTCACTCCCCGCTACCCGCTGCCCGCTGCCCACTGTCCGCTATCCACTGCCCACTGCCCACTGCCCACTGCCCACTCCCCGCTGCCCACTCCCCACTCCTCACTCCCCACTGTCCGCTCCCCACTGCCCGCTGCCCACTGCCTACTGTCCGCTCCCCACTGCCCGCTGCCCACTGCCCACTGCCCGCTGCCCACTGTCCGCTACCCACTGCCCACTGCCCTCTGCCCGCTGCACACTGCCCGCCGCCTGCTGCCCGCTGCCCACTGCCCACTCCTCACTCCCCACTGCCCGCTGCCCGCTGCCCACTGTCCACTCCCCACTGTCCACTGCCCGCTGCCCACTGCCCACTGCCCACTGCCCACTCCTCACTCCCCACTGCCCGCTGCCCTCTGCCTGCTGCCCACTGCCCGCTCCCCACTGCCCACTGCCCACTCCTCACTCCCCACTGCCCGCTGCCCTCTACCCACTGCCCTCTGCCCACTGCCCGCTGCCCTCTGCCCGCTGCCCACTCCTCACTCCCCACTGCCCGCTGCCCTCTGCCTGCTGCCCACTGCCCGCTCCCCACTGCCCACTGCCCACTCCTCACTCCCCACTGCCCGCTGCCCGCTCCCCACTGCCCTCTGCCCACTGCCCGCTGCCCTCTGCCCGCTGCCCACTCCTCACTCCCCACTGCCCGCTGCCCTCTGCCTGCTGCCCACTGTCCACTGCCCACTCCTCACTCCCCACTGCCCGCTGCCCTCTGCCCACTGCCCACTCCCCACTTCCCACTGCCCACTGCCCACTCCCCACTGCCCACTGCCCGCTGCCCTCTGCCCACTCCTTACTGCCTGCTGCCCACTGCCCACTCTGCACTCCTCGTTCCCCGCTGCCCGCTGCCCACTGCCCACTGCCCACTACTCACTCCCCACTGCCCACTACTCACTCCCTACTGCCCACTGCCCACTGCCCACTGTCCACTGTCCACTGCTCACTGCCTGCTGCCCACTCCCCACTCCTCGCTCCACGCTGCCCACTCCTCACTGCCCACTGCCCACTCCCCACTCCTCACTCCCTGCTGCCCACTCCCCACTCCCCACTCCCCACTCCTCACACAGCACAGCAGACCCGGGGCGGCCTGACCCCGTGCTAGCGCCCGCCCCTGACCGGGAGCGAGGGGACCCTGTGCCTGATGCTCGCTTCCTGGTGACAGCCCCCCTGGTGCTGCCTGCAGCCTCCCTCACCGCCCTCAGCCTCTCTCACTGCGGCTGTTGGAGCTGGACTGTGACCCGCCAGCAGCCTGGGGTCTATGGCGGATACCGGCCCCCCTGCTGGGACTTCCATCACTCCCTGTCGCCTCCCCAGGGAGCAGAGGCCAGTGCAGACCTCCTGGGGGCGGGGGGCCGGCTGCACCTCCCCTCCTGGCCCCTCCGAGGCCTCCAGGCAGAGGACCCTCCGCCCAGGCAGGACCTGCTCTGGCTTCCCTGCCGGGGCTCCTGCCCGCCCTGTGCAGAGGAAGAGGGCCAGTCCTGCCTCCGGGCCGGAGCCTCCTGGCTCCCTGGCTTTCCGGGGCGGAGGCCGGGGCGGAGGCCGGGGCTGGCTCTAGCGCTGGGTGCTGCTCGGTGGTCCATGGGGCGGCGGGGAGGGGGGGGGGGAGCCTGGGGGCTGAGACAGGGACTGCAGGGAGGAGAGGAGGCTCTGCCTTCAGTCCTGTCTCCCAGCGCGGTGCTTTCTGCCTTTAGGTGGGTCACGAGGAGGGTGTCAGAGGGAAAGCCATGACAGGCCCCGGGAGATGGGAGCACAGAGTCCTGCCTCCGCGGCCAGGAGCCGCCGGCTCAGGGCTGAGAGCAGGAGGTGCTGCGGCTGCTGAGGGTCCTCGGTCCCTTCCTGCCGGGCTCCCCTCAGGGTGTGGCGCTGAGTAGGGCACGGGAGACAGGGTGGGTCTCGGCAGGGAAATGACCGGCGCCCTCTGAAAGCTCAGTCCACGCACAGACTTTGACAGAAAGGGGTTCTTGGGGGTGCAGCCTCTGGTCACCTACACGGAGGATGCACCTCAGGCACATGCCTGCCGCGAAGCAGCGCGGAGGCCTGACAGGGCCACAGCCCCACGGCCTGAGCCAGGGCCAGTGTGCCCGGCCCTGCAGCCAGTCACCGCGGCTGAGTGAGGGGGACCCAGCCTCGTGCTCAGAGCCGCCCCGTGTGCCCGCCTCCACCCCCGGAGTCCTACCTGGGATGGTCACGTGCCAGACCAGCACGGGATGGAGGAAGCAGGCCACGGACAGCAGCAGGTAGGCCAGGAACTTCTGGAAGCAGCCCAGCCAGCATGCCTTCTCCCTCGCTCTGGCGGCCAGGGACCCGGGCAGACACCTGGGAGGAGGGAGTCCGGGTGAGCAGGGAGCAGGCAGCAGCTCACAGGCTGTGGACCACGCTCTCTGCAGGCACCCTGGTGGGAGTCCTCCATTAGGGGTCTTGCTGTGCCCCTTGCCCCCAGAGGCCCTGAAAGGCAGGAGAAAGGGAGCAGGAGCTGTAGGGGGCACTGGGGCCCACAGCAGGGCGTGCAGTGTGAGACGCGGGCGGGCAGTTGTGTGGTTCACGCCTTGCAGAAGGGGCCTGGCTGCATAGGGTCTCGCCTGGGTGTGCGATGACACTGCCCAGAGGGGCTTCGTGATGGGCATGCAGAGCCCACACCCGCCTGACTCCGGCAGGGCTGCTGCCCCAGGTTCAAAGGGGAAAAGCTTTGTCCTCAGGCCCAGCTCCTTCCCCTCTGGAGCAGGGATCTGCAGGGCTCATCCTGCCTCGGAGCAGAGCAGCGGGCCTGGAGGATGGTGTGTTGGCCCAGACACAGCCTCTTCCACACCCACTGCCACGGCTCTTTGGTTCCCCCTGGTGGTCATTCTGTGTGCCCAGGTCCTAGCTGGGGTGGAGCCGTCCAGAACAGGTAAAATGGGCCTTCAAGCCTAGGGCTCCTCTCACCAGCTCCCCGCCCCCCCCCCCCTCAGAAGTTGCAAGGATCCCTGGGCAGCGGGAGCTACTCACTGGAAGCAGATGGCCAGCAGCTGAGCCACGAAGTAGGCCCCTTCGCACACGGCGATGGCGGCTCCCGTGAACCTGCGTGGAGACAGGTGAGGGAGGAGAGGCCTCTTCCGGCTCTCCCTCACCCTTCCTGCCGGTGGTCTGCTGGCTGCACCTTGGCCTCCCCACCAGAAGTTTCTCAACCTGATCTGTCACCCAGCCAGCGTCCCCACGCGGGTCTTGATGCCAGGGCCTGCAGGAGGTTGGGCTGTGGTGGTGGAGGGGGTGGGGCCTGGACAGAGGTGAGGAGGGAGCTGCAGGCCCGCAGGAGGGGCCACCTTGACCCCAGCATTCCTGTGCGGACACTGGCAGATATTTTTCCTACTGTCACTGGGACGGACACCCACTGCCCACTGAGAGGCTTAACGCTGGACCCATTCCCAAGCCCTTTCCTTCTCCCACTTTTCTCATCACGCAAAGGTCCCGGGTATGGGCTGACTGTGTCCTGAAATCAGCTCAGAGTCCATCCTGTTCTCTCTGGCCTCACCTGAGAGCCTGAGTGTGGGCCTGGCCCCCAGACACCGCACCACTCCCCCCTCTTGGTCTCCCTGACTGCCTGGCCCCACCGCCTGTCCCTGCTCCTCTCTCCAGGCGGTTTCCCCAGTGCCCCAGGGCTCCTTCTGACTCCTGAGACTGACCATACTCTTCCCAGGCTAGGATTCTTTTTTTCTTTCTTTTATTAAATATATTTTTATTGATATTTTACAGAGAGGAAGAGAGAGGGATAGAGAGTTGGAAACATGGATGAGAAACATCGATAAATTGCCTCTTGCACACCCCCTACTGGGGATGTGCCCGCAACCAAGGTACATGCCTTTGACTGGAACTTAACCTGAGACCTTTCAGTCCGCAGGCTGACGCTCTATCCACTGAGCCAAACCGGTTTCGGCCCAGTCTAGAATTCTTTAAATCCTCCTCCTGCTCCAGGGGTGGTCCGGAGACGCCCCGTCATAATTTGCTGGGAATGTGTAAAATCATCGTCCCTGGGCCTGGCATCACGGTCTTTGGGAATGGGACTCACATTTCTTATTGGACAGTCTCCTGGCCAATAGGACCGAACTTCCTTAGCACAGCTCAGGTGCCACGGGGCCTCTGCACAGGCCGGCGCCTCTTGCCAGGACCCCTCCTTGGCCCTGCTTGTCTGAGGACACGGAGATGGCAGTGATTCACTGCCAGGTGTGCCCTGCACTCGATGAATGCGCTGAGTGTGAGGGACCAC